AGGTAGGTGGTTCCAGCCCGCCCAGGGTGGCATACTATATTTTTTTCCCTTCAAGTGAAATAGAATTTATTAAAAAGTGGATCATTTTTCTGTTCAGATTAATTGTTCTTCACAAACACACGAAGCCTCCGTGGCGCAATCGGCTAGCGCGTTCGGCTGTTAACCGAAAGGCTGGAGGTTCGAACCCACCCGCGAGCGGCATTCTGTATTTCTTTTTCCTTCAAGAGAAATAGAATTTATTAAAAAGTAGATTATTTTTCTGTTCAGATTAATTGTTCTTCACAAACACTCGAATCCTCCGTGGCGCATTCGGCTAGCGCGTTCGGCTGTTAACCGAAAGGCTGGAGGTTCGAACCCACCCGCGAGCGGCATTCTGTATTTCTTTTTCCTTCAAGAGAAATAGAATTTATTAAAAAGTGGATCTTTTCTGTTCAGATTAATTGTTCTTCAGAAACACGCGAAGCCTCCGTGGCGCAATCGGCTAGCGCGTTCGGCTGTTAACCGAAAGGTTGGTGGTTCGAGCCCACCCGGGGGCGGCATTCTGTATTTGTTTTTCCTTCAAGTGAAATAGAATTTATTAAAAAGTGGATCTTTTCTGTTCAGATTAATTGTTCTTCAGAAACACGCGAAGCCTCCGTGGCGGAATCGGCTAGCGCGTTCGGCTGTTAACCGAAAGGTTGGTGGTTCGAGCCCACCCGGGGGCGGCATTCTATACTTGTTATTCCTTCAAGTGAAATAGAATTTATTAAAAAGTGTATCTTTTTTTTCTGTCCAGATTAATTGTTCTTCAAAAACACACGAAGCCTCCGTGGCGCAATCGGCTAGCGCGTTCGGCTGTAAACTGAATGGTCGGCGTTTCGAGCCCACCCAGGGGCGGCATTCTATATTTGTTTTTCCTTCAAGTGAAATAGAATTTATTAAAAAGTGTATCTTTTCTGTTCAGATTAATTGTTCTTCAGAAACACACGAACCCTCCGTGGCGGATTCGGCTAGCGCGTTCTGCTGTTAACCGAAAGGTTTTTAGTTCGAGCCCACCCGGGGGCGGCATTCTATACTAGTTATTCCTTCAAGTGAAATAGAATTTATTATAAAAAGTGGATCTTTTTTCTGTTCAGATTAATTGTTCTTCACAAACACACGAAGCCTCCGTGGCGCAATCGGCTAGCGCGTTCGACTGTTAACCGAATGGTTGGTGGTACGAGACCACCCGGGGGCGGCATTCGATATTTGTTTTTCCTTCTGAAATAGAATTTAGTAAAAAGTTTATCTTTTCTCTTCAGATTAATTGTTCTTCATAAATACACGAACCCTCCGTGGCGGAATCAGCTAGCGCGTTCTGCTGATAACCGAAAGGTTGGTGGTTCGAGCCCACCCGCGGGCGGCATTCTGTATTTGTTTTTCCTTCAAGTGAAATAGAATTTATTAAAAAGTGGATCTTTTCTGTTCAGATTAATTGTTCTTCAGAAACACGCGAAGCCTCCGTGGCGCAATCGGCTAGCGCGTTCGGCTGTTAACCGAAAGGTTGGTGGTTCGATCCCACCCGGGGGCGGCATTCTGTATTTCTTTTTCCTTCAAGTGAAATAGAATTTATTAAAAAGTGGATCTTTTCTGTTCAGATTAATTGTTCTTTAGAAACTCCCGAAGCCTCCGTGGCGCAATCGCTAGCGCGTTCGGCTGTTAACCGAAAGGTTGGTGGTTCGAGCCCACCCGGGGGCGGCATTCTATACTTGTTATTCCTTCAAGTGAAATAGAATTTATTAAAAAGTGGATCTTTTTTTTCTGTTCAGATTAATTGTTCTTCAAAAACACACGAAGCCTCCGTGGAACAATCGGCTGTTAATCGAAAGGTTGGTGGTTCCAGCCCGCCCAGGGTGGCATACTATATTTTTTTCCCTTAAAGTGAAATAGAATTTATTAAAAAGTGGATCATTTTTCTGTTCAGATTAATTGTTCTTCACAAACACACGAAGCCTCCGTGGCGCAATCGGCTAGCGCGTTCGGCTGTTAACCGAAAGGTTGGTGGTTCGAGCCCACCCGGGGGCGGCATTCTATAATTGTTTTTCCTTCAAGTGAAATAGAATTTATAAAAAAGTGGAGCTTTTCTGTTCATATTAATTGTTCTACAGAAAAACACGAAGACTCCGTTTCGCAATCGGCTAGCGCGTTCGGCTGTAAACTGAATGGTTGGTGGTTCGAGCCCACCCAGGGGCGGCATTCTATATTTGTTTTTCCTTCAAGTGAAATTGAATTTGTTAAAGTGGATCTTTTTTCTGTTCCAGATTAATTGTTCTTCAAAAAACACAGAAGCCTCCATATGGAACAATCACTATTAATCAAGAGGTTGGAGTCGGTTCCACCCGCCCAGGGTACATACTATATTTTTTCCTTAAGTGAAATGAAATTTATTAAAAGTGGATCTTTTTCTGTTCAGATTATTTGTTACTTTCAGAAACACACAAGCCTCCGTGGCTGAAATCGAGCTACGCACGTTCGGCTGTTAACGAAAGGTTGGTGGTTTCAGAGAGAGCCCACGGAGGGGCGGCATTCTATATTTTTATTCCCTTCGGAATAGAATTTATTACAAAGAGGATCATCCTTTCTGTTCAGTTAATTACCGGCTCACAACGCAGAAGCCTCCGTAGCATATCGGCTAGCGGTTCAGGCTGTACGAAGAGTTTACCCAGACCCAGGGACTGCGGCATTCTGTCTTTATTTTCGCTCAAAGTGAATAGAATTTATAAAGAGTAGATCTTTTTTCTGTTCAGATTATTCGTTTGCAGGAAACGCAGAGCCTCCGTGGCGATCAGCTAGCGTCGGCTGAACAAGGCCTGGAAAAATGGTTCGAAGCCCCACGGGCGCATTCTGTATTTGTTTTTCAGCTCAAAGTGAAATAGAATTTATTAAAAAAGTGGATCTTTTCTGTTCCAGATTAATTGTTCTTCAGAAACACGCAGAAGCCTCCGTGGCGCAATCGGCTGACAGCGCGTTCGCTGTTTTACCGGTAAGGAAATTGACCACTAATTGGTTTGAGTGAGCCACGCCGGGGCGACATTCTATAACTTTTTCCTTCAAGTGAGTGAATTTATTAAAATTGATGCTTTTTTTTCGACGATTAATTGTTCTTGCAAAAGAAACACACGAAGAGCCTCCATTGACAATCAACGCTTCGGCTATACTAAATGTCGGCGTTTGAGGTCCACTACATTGGGCGGCATTCTATGTTATTTTCCTTAAGAGTGAAATACAATTTATTAAATGGATCTTTCTGTTCAGTGTTAATTGTTCTTCAGACACACACGAGCACTCCGTGGCGCATCAGCTACCGTTCTGCTGATAGCGAAGGTTTTTAGTTCCAGGCCACGGCAGGCGGCATTCTTATACTAGTTATTCCTTCAGGAAATAGAATTTGTAAAAAGTTTGGATCTTTTCTGTTCAGATTAGTTCTGGCTGAAGAGCACACGAACCTCCGTGGCGCAACGGCTTAGCGCGTTTGCCTTAAACGTAGATTAGTGTTTCGACGACCCACCCGGGGGCTGCATTCGTATCTTCTTATTCCTTCAGTAAATGAAATTTATAAAAGGAAAGTGGATACTTTTCTGATTCAGATAATTGTTCTGGAAAAACACAAGAACTCCAAAGTTTCGAACTCAAGGGTCGGCTGTTAACAAAGGTTGAGGTTCAGCAGCCCACTTCGGGGGCATACTATATTTTTTCTATCGAAATAGAATTTGGTAATTATTAAAAGTTGTATTCAGTTTTTCTGTTCAGATTATTGTTCTTCACAAACACACGAACCTCCGTGGCGGAATCGCTAGCGCGTTCTGCTGTTAACTGAAAGTGGGGTTCAACCCTGCCGAGGGCGGCATTGTATTTGTTCTTCCTTCAAGAAATAGAATTTATTAAAATAATCTTTTTTTCTGTTCAGATTAATTGTTCTTCAAAAACACAAGAAGCCTCCGTGGAACAATCGAGCTGTTAATCAGAAGAGTTGGTGGTTCCAGCCCCTTGAGGGTAAGCTACTATATATTTTTCCCTTAAAGTGAAATAGAATTTATTAAAAGTGATCATTTTTCTGTTCAGATTAATTGTTCTTCCACACACAGAGGAAGCCTCCGTGGCGCAATCACTAGCGCATTCGGCTTTAACCGAAAGGTTAGTGGTTCGAGCCCACGGCGGCGCATTCTAGTATTTCTTTTCCTTCAAGTGAAATAGAATTTATTAAAGGGATCTTTTTCTTTCAGATTAATTGTTCTTCAGAAACATTCAAGCCTCCGTGGCGCGTTCGGCTGTAAACGAAAGGTGGGTTCCGAACCACCCGAGCAGCATTCTGTATTTATTTTTCCTTCAGATGAAATAATTTATAAAAGTGGATCTTTTCTGTTCAGATTAATTGTTCTTCCGCACACGAAGCCTCCTTGGCGCATCGGCTATGCGCGTTCGGCTGTTAACCAGAAGGTTAGTGGTTCAGGCACCCGGGGGGCGGCATTCTTATTGTTTTCCTTCAAGTGAA